TTAACAGTAAGTAACTTTGCAACTACATGTCAACTAGCAGTTAGTAGAGTATTAGTAGACTGTCTGCTTACTAACACTTAACACTTTCTTTGTCAACTTATTCTACTAACCCTAAACCTACCCTAACTGTCTACTCTGGTAGACATGTCACCCGGTCATGCATGAAAAAAAATACCGTTGTGTACCGTGAAACCAGTATCATTTTGAAAAATACCGTGATATAAATGTTTGGTCATACCACCCAGCACTACACAAAAGTGTAAATTATTGTGTGTTTTGAAGTGGGACGTAGTGCTGTTTTATGCACCTGCTACCTTTAACTGTTTTTAATCTAGTAGTAAACTCAAATCCTTGTAGGAACTGCAGGTCCTAGCCATAGAAACCATAATAATGATTTATATGGCTAAGTAATGAGCTTATGCAACTTTACACATTTACAATTACTTACTATATTATTAGTTACTATTACTCCACTAGGTCTGAAATATATATTGTACGTTTTAATCCACTGGAACACAATACAAACATGATCTAGATTAGAACATGATGCATTGCTGTGTCTCTGTCATAATTCAATAATTAAACCATTTTGGCGAAGTGGCTGTACATGTGTGTGTGTTTTTGTTTTGTTTACAGTCTTCCTTTAACAGACATTACTATAAGACAATACTGCAAAAACAGTTTACAGTCAAGCTGTTATATTCCTGTTATATGTTGTCCAACAGTCCTAATTTTTCTGTCATTCATTTAATTTCACATGTTGGTATTAATTCAGTGTTAATAATGCTAACACTTGAACTTAAAATATTTTCAACCGAAAGTGGCATGGTTTCTAGAGAGCAAAAGGTTTTGTGAGAAAAGGGAAGACTTTAAAATAGACTGTCTTGGTCTTCTGTACTCTTTGTGGTAACTACGCAAGACGTGTAGTATGACTGCGTAAAGGAGAAGGGGAACTGCTACACCGCACGTGTTTCTGGTTCAGTCTGTATTTCCTCCGTTGGTAGCCTATATTTCCGACTGTAAAGAGTCTGTGAATTAATCTCAGCTAAAAGCAGAAACTCTAGAGCTCGATATCATTATAAACCTGAGCGATTCTTCCATTATTGCATGCGCCACAAACCACTAAATGCTGTTAAAAGTTTAAATATCGGGAATAACACACATATATCCGAGACACGAATCATATGAAATAATATCATAAGCCGATAAATGAACTCACCTTAATGTGATGTCTATGATGAGTCTTCAAAATCTTCGCGTTTACTTTCGGTTTCGACACCGGAGTGAAGCATGCGCATGCGCAGAAGACTCCGCCTCTTCTTCTTCTTCTTCTTCTTCTTCTTCTTCAGTTTCATGGCGGGTGGTACCAAGGTTAAGGTGCATTATCGCTGCTATGTTGAAGTGTGGATCAGAATTTACCCATTATCAAAAAAAACACAAAAAAAAACAACAAAACACCTTTCTTAAAAAATTATTATAATGCAATTTCCAGCAAAACTGGAAAGCTTTTCTGCATTGTCTACTCTGTACTGCTGTTGATTTTCTCCAAGCTGATTTCTGTCTGCCAGTCTTCTTGCTGACTTTTACAGGAGCAATGTCATCAATAACATTATTCACTTTTGAGTTAAAGGAATCAAGGAGAAGATCGACAGAGTCTGCAGACATGCTTGGTGTTAGAGATATAGCCTCCATAAATAGCACACTAGTGTTCTCGTTAATGCATCTCTTTCTGACAGAGATAGATCTAGATTCAGTGGTAGCAGAGATCAATATATCAAAAAAAAAAAAATACAGAAGTGATCAGATAGTGCTACGTCCTTAATAACAATGGATGAAATGTTTAGACCTCTACTGATGAGTAAATGTAGAGTATAGGGCCTTTCGCACCGCAGGAACCTTTTCATAGTACCAGAACTAATTGTGGAACTACCCACTTTTTGGCGTTTTCGCACCGCCGGAACTGGGTGCGATTTTAGTACCGGACTGCCTTTTCCGAGAACCAAATTAGCTCCTACTCTGGAGCAGGGTCTAACCAGCACAACTGGTACTAATCGTGACGTAAGTAGACATTGATTGGCCAAACGCGTATGAAAACGCCCTCACCCACCATGATTTAAAACGCAGTGTAAACATACTGTAAACATTGTGTCAACTTATTTCGCAAGTATGGAGAACAGCGATAGATGGACGGACGCTGAAGTGCAGGCACTTGTAGCAAATGTAGCACTGCCAGTTGTCGTTGGAGATTCTTAGTCCTCCTTTCCGTTCTTTCAATCGCTTTACGTATACGTCGACTTTCCATGTCCATTATTGTGAAACCCGCGAGACACAACAAAAACACAGCTCCGATCACAGCGTCCTCCATCCTCCTGTTGTTAACGTTG